GGATATCAGGGGCACCTCCATAGCGACCATGCCAGCATCGATTACCAAGCTAAAGAAGCTACAGTACATGCGTGCTGGTACAATATCCCTGGCAAAGGAATCATCAACATCTTACTCTTCAGCATCTAGGTTGCCAAACTTGTGCAGATCTTGTCAACTAGTTGGTGTTGAGGTGCCATCAGGGATTGATGAACTGACACCATTACACACGCTTGGTGTTGTTAAATGCTGGTATCAGAGGGGGCAAGGCCACTCTAAAAGAGCTGAAGAAGATTACCCAATTGCGCAAGCTTGGAGTGTCCGGTGTCAACAAGAAAAATAACAAGGAATTCTGTGCTGCCATCTCATGTCATGTCCGCCTGGAATCCTTGTCAGTGTGGCTTAGCAAGGGAAATCAAGGTTGTTTGGATGAAATATCGTCTCAGGATAAGCCTCTGCAAATCCTTCAGGGCCTTAAGTTATATGGTCTTGGAAGTGAGGTGCCAGCTTGGATGAAAGATCTTCCCAAACTCACAAAGTTGGATTTGCATATGACCATATCAGCAAAAGTTGACATAATTAAAGTCCTTGGGGAAATAAAAGAACTATGCATTCTACGTCTTTGTGTCAAGCCTCTTCAAGATGGTGATGGTAAGCTTGATTTTTGTGTCTGGGTGAATGGAATACAGCAACGCTGTTATTTAAAGGTCAAGATCCTCGAGATTACTTGCAGCTCAAATTTGAATATATCCTTTGGATCAGAAGCAATGCAAAATCTTGAGCTGCTGACAGCTCGCTGCTGTAGTGGGTCGGCATTGAAGTTCATGGAGATAAAGAATCTCTCTAAACAAAAACTCAAGGAAGTACGGCTTATTGGTTCCCATGACACTGCACTCAAGGATGACATGGAGAAGCAACTGGAGGAGCATCCAAGGAATCCTCCTTTGAAGCTGGAGGGACTGGAAGGATGCTGAGCTCACAGTGATCAATGTGTCGTCCTAGGCATCTACAGAACTCTCTTCGCTTATTTTTCTTTCTTTTCCCTACCAATTGATGCAGTGATCCAGTATTGCAATACATCCGCCATGCCAGTGGAAACTGGAACATCTGCTTCCTTCAAGGTGTCCAGATAATTGGCACTTATCCTATGTGTAACATCGCTAGGAGAAGACATATTCAGTTCAGTTCATTTACTCTGTACTCGAAACGTTGAGCTTGAGCTTATGTATCTTCATAAGGAATATTCTCTTGTGTACATGTTTACGGATTTGACTTTTGCATTGATGTAGTAATTGTTTTGTAATTTTGTGTAATGATAATACCAACTGTATCCTGAGTTTTCTCTTTGTCCCTTTTGTAGTGTTCTGTACATGGCTTTTTTGTTCTTTTCGTTGCAAATTCTCATCAAAATATATTATTGTCTGAGCATTTAGTACTGGTAGTAAGTCTGCTGCTTAAGTCTAAATAGTGATTGACGTATTGTTGACAGTGGGCCCATTACGTTGCTCTGTCAGCGGATCTGTAGCAGTAGATGAAAGAGCTGTAGAGGTGCTATTTGTCCACTGACATAGGAGTAATAAATAGACAGAATGTTAGTATCTGTTGGTCTGCAATTCTATTCGAATGGCTCCATCGCCTCCATGTGATGTGAAACCTAATTAAATGGTTGCAAGTTGCCGTGGCATCACTACATGCGTACCCAAGGCATTTTAAGTTTTTTCACTCTCTTTTCATCACATCAAATCTTTAAATACATACATGGAGTATTAAATATAGATAAAAAAATAACTAATTACACAATTTTATTATAAATTACGAGACGAATCTTTTGAGCCTAGTTATGTCATAATTGGACAATAATTATTAAATACAAACGAAAATACTACAGTGTCAAATATTGATTTCTAGCCGTGAACTAAACAAGGCCCAAGTCAAGTCAATAATTTTCGAATTCGAACCAACTACGTTTGTCACTTTGTGACGTACGTCCACTTGCTGTTATTATAATAACAATACGCTGGCCGGGGTGAATGACCCCCATCTACATTGCAACGATACGCTGGATCTTATCATCAACAACTTCCATAACAGTCATCTTTTTTTTTTGGCGGATGGGCGATGGTGATCCTCCCAGCATCCTGATGCTTGGCCAAGTCACTGGGAGCGGAACGACGGCCGGTGCAATGTGCACTCAGTTTTAGTGGAATGAGAATGGACACAGCCATTGGATGGTCCGTATCCATGCACGCTAACGCCTTGCCCACCGAGGACGGGTCTCCGCCCCCAACACGGTTGGGTGGCGGGAGATCCTCCCAAGGCAGGAGACGCAACCTGCGGCCGCCTCGGTTGAGCATCGCCAAAAGTAGCTCCCGCAGGCCCAGAGGATCCCAGCAGAGCTTCGCGACAGATGCTTCAACTGTATCTCCTACTCGTACCGTGTCGCGACTTGCCGGTTCCCACGGCGTTGCCTGCGCTGCCATGGCTTCTGCCACCTCGCCAGGGAGCGCAAGCGGCCTAGGTCTGCTACGACTATGGCGGCGAAGGGTGGCGTCTGGCCCGGCGCTCTGTTCGTGGCGTCAACCCATCGGCCTCCCAGCAAGCGCCCCATGGCGGTCCGCCGAACTTGGGTGGGGCCGTGTGGGGTGCCGCGAGGGGCGCTAGCAGAATCCGATGACGACGCCGGCGCCGCCGGAGTACACCGGCGGGGGACATCAATATGGGCGCGCCTGCCGACTACACCGACAACGCCGTTGCTGCACACCACTCCCCCGAGCCAGATCTGCTGGTGTTGGAGGTGTGCGCGGGCGTGGGGCCTCCGACGTGGGTTGACCCCATGTTGGAGGAGCTTGCCGCTTCGCTCGTCCTAACAGCAGGAACACAAGCGACTCGGTGCCCGCCTCCTCCACCAGTCGCCTCTCAGGAAGTGGAAGCATCGCTGGTGGACACCCGTTCTCCGACGAAGGGTGCCCTATGGACGACGGACTCGCCTCCGTTGTCGCCTGTGCAAGGGCAACCACAAGGCACGCCGCCACAGGGGACACAGCGGCGCCGTGGATGCTTTGAAGCGCTCCAAATGACACCCTCCTAGGCGTGGACCCACCCCACCCCGCCCCAGCACATATGCCCTGCGCTGGCTAGCGCCGGGCCAACCACCCTGGGAGACGCGACGATCGAGGCTACGACGAACGCCTTCAACCGCACTTTATCACCTCAAACGACATCGGCCGATAGACGACTCAAGTGCTTTACCGAGCGAATTACAAAGCCGAGGCAGCCGCCTCTACTGGAGCTTCCCATAGATGATACGGCCTACGACCGTTACGCTCCGCCCTCGTTCCCCACGCGAAGCAAGCAGATAGCGGTGACTCCAATATGCAGGCGCTACGTGAGTTGTTCCCACCAGACGGTGATGTGGGCCCGCGCAAGCGGCGCCATAGCCGTTTGGCAGCCCGACGATAGGCCTCCTAGCCTGCGTCACAATTTTGGTTGATCTCTGTCCAATGTAATAGCATAGCTTGCAGTACACTAGGGAGGGTTCGAGTATTCATGTATAATTTATTGACCCCATAGGACCCCGCTAAGGCGTATTGTATTGAACATTCTCTCTCTTAATACAAAGACGTGCAAACCTTTTGCGTGATCGAGAAACAAAATAAAAGGAGCGCATATAGGCACCACCGGTCACGCTTTGCAGGAGCGCGCGACCCCGGCGCCACCGCCGCCCACCGCTCGGGCGCGCGCGTGCCCTAGGATTCCGCCGGTAGGGTTTAATTTAATAATCTATCAATGATGCACATGTAAAGACCACCCACCCTCTCCCTTTTTTTTCCTGATATAAAACAGATTCAGATCCAAACACTTGGAACTCTTGTCTTCCCTATTTGTCTTTTTCCCTGCCTCTAAGTGAAACGTTATTTTTATATATTAATTAATATTATAAACGCAGACATTAAGAAATAATTTACGCAGGTGGCACGCAATCATGCGTGCAACTCTGAAGTCTTCCAGTCAATGAATGAAGTTAATTAGTAAGGAAAGAAGCAAGGATCGGAGTTCAGGGGTATAACATCCCCAGTTTCCAACCATCCAAAAATTCAAGCCTTTTAAAATGTTTTCTGCATGGTGTGAAACATGTAATCGCTAGGTCAAACCCGAGACAACTAAGGAGAGAGTACAAGTACATTGTTGCATTCATATAGAATTAATTGGAGGAGAGTGCCTGTGTTCTTGAGTTGGTTTTGGGTTTGAATTTTTGTTTGAAGTTTGGAGTGCATAAATCCGTAGCAGATTCCTCTCAATCCCTTTTGAATCCATTTTTTTTTTCTTTTCCCTTTCTCAATCAGCCCAACCTCCCTCCATTCCTTCCTCCTCTTCTGGCCCAGCGCGCCGTGTGGCCCAGCCTGGCCTCGGCCTCTCCCGCACGGGCCCAGCCTAGCTCCCACACGCCCCGGCCCAGCTCCATCCTCCCCTTTCGCGAGCCCAGCAGGCAGCCGCAGGCCTGCAGCGCCAGCGCCCCGCTCGGCCCACGTGGAAGCCGCGACCCACTCGGCCCCCACAGGCCCACGCGTGGCCCCCGCAGGCCCGAGCGCCTCGGCCCGCTTGGCCCGTCTAGTGCTTCAGCACCCAAACCCTAGTGAGCACTAGCGACCGCTCCCAGAAGCTGCGCCGTCGCCGCCTGCTCGATGCGGAGCCGCCCCGCGCCTCCTCTCGGCGTCCGCGCCCGTGGATGCGCTCCACACGTCCCCTGGTACGAAAGCCGAGGTTCCTCGCCATCCATCACTTGGAAACCCTAGCCGGCGCCCTATAAATCGCGCCGCAGCCGCCTCTCCCTTCTCTTCCTCCATTCAGCCGCCGCCACCAGCTCGCCCTCTGTTTCTCCTTCCTCGCGTCCGAGTGCCGCCGACGGCGCAGCCGCCCGCCGGCCATGCCACCTCCGCGTCGCGGTTGCTGCTCGACGCCGAGCCCTCCCCAGCTCGCGCTGCCTCGCCACTTTGCTGCTCCTGGCCAGCCGCGGCCTGGCCATGGCGCCTCCCGACCGGCTGCCGGCACGCCAGGCCACCCGCGGCACGCTGCTCCGAGCCGGTCACCTGCTCCTTGCGCCTCGCCGCCGTCTTCCACGGCCACAGCGTCACCACCCGGAGGAGCCATGGATAGGAGCCGCCACGCTGTTCCTCCTCTACGCACGGGCGCAGTCTGCCCCGCGACGCCGAGCCGTCTCCACTGCGTCGCCGCGCCGGACCGCGACCAGGAGCAGCGCCCTCCTCAGCCCGTGCAGCTCCGACCCTGCACGTCTGCCTCCTCGCCGTTCCACAGCACCTCCGACCCGTCGGTGAGCCACCATGGCCCAAAGGTCCCGCCTTTTTCCTTCCTCGCCGGCGTTCTTCCCTAAGAATGGCCCTTGTGCCGCTGTTTTTCACCGTCACAGGGAAGCCACGGCCTTGCTATGCCATTGCTTGGGAGCCGGACGTCGGCGCCACCCTGCTGGTCCCTTCCTCACCATCGGAGGCGCGTCCAGCAGCAGCTGCCACCTCTGGCCGCCCGCAGCCGCCTTCTGGCCGGCCAAAGCCACGTCCGGCCTGGCCGCAGCTGGCTGTTGTGTGGCCACAGCCGGCCAGCAGCAGGCCAGAGCCGGCCCATGGTGGCTGCAGCAGGCCACAGCTGGCCAGGGCTTCCTACAGCTGGTCGTGACTCGCCCGGACGCCCTACAGCAAGCCTCGCCTTCCTCGCCATCGTCAAGGTCGAACTTTCAAACCCAGTCGACGCCATCCTCGATGTCGGCAAAGCTTCTGCTTGTCATTCATACCTATTCATACATGTTCGCACTTGATATCTATCTATGCCTGTGCCGTGCCTTCGCGTCGGTCTATCTCTGTCGCTATGGATATGTGCTACTCCATTCTGTGTCGTTTGTGTTGTTTGATTGTTTGTGGACCGAGCCTTCGAGCCGGTCGAGGGATTGTACCTCGTTCGAACGTTTCGGTCGTGGGTTTGTCCCGATGTGGTCGTGATGCCGAGCGTAACTCGTTCCCTCATGTTTTAGTTGTCTTCGTCGTACTACGATCGTTAGCGACCCTATTTCGGCCTTAGGACGTGGCCATTGTGGACTCGATATAGATATAGACGTGGTTCTTACCCGCACACTTCGAGTCCTCCGTGACCTAGTCTAGCGGGATACGAACTAGGGGACAACCATCGTGGAACTGATGGAAGCCAACTTGTTTAGGTAAAGCTCATGGCTGCAAGTTGCCTCGCCATGACCATTAGGCTCTACCCCCTTTTGCTCTCTTGTTTATCCTAACCACCTCGTATGCTTGTGCCGCATAGACCATAGTGTTCCTTTGGATCAAGCGGTGACAATCACATCGCTACGAACCCTAGGGATAGCATTGTGTCAATTTAGTTGCACGGGGGTCGTGGTGCCCTACGAGTGGGTTTGGGCTGTTGATTCACTGTTTAGTGTGCCAGGATCTCTTGTGCATTGCTCCTCTAGGTTCCTGCCTATTGCGATGGCGTGCGGATCGGAGGGTAGCGCTCTCACTTATTTCATTCTTCGGTTTCTGCCATGGCGAGTAAATCAAAGAGTGGTAGATCTTGTTACCCGTGCCTCTCCTTTTGTTGGTCCGACTCTTTCAACCTCCATCTATTACCATGACGAGCAGGTTGAAGGAATGCGAGACCCTTCTCCTTATCTTCTCCCGTTTTCTCTTTCAATCCTCGTCGATCTAGTAAGATGTGGATTGAGCCCTCTTGTTCCAACTTCGATTCATGTCTATTGCAATAACATGAGAATTGAAGTACCATGGAACCAAAATCCCTTTTCGCTTGTTTGCTTCCCTTTGGTGTTCATTTATTGCTCTCATGATTCCATTCCTTTGATTGCCGTCGGATACTATGGCGAGTGGATCAAAGGAAGGTGGATCTCTTATCCCTTCCCCCTCTCTTTTGGTTCCTTCGTGCGCAAGCCCCTTGTATGCTTGTACCTATATTAGACCGTAGCACTCCTTAGGTTCTCGCGGTGACAACCGCACCGCTAAGACTCCTAGGAATGTCTTGGTGCCATTCGGTGCACATAGGTCGTGGTACCCTATGAGTGGATTTGGGCGCTTGTATTTCTTTTTGTGTGTCACTCCTTTCGATGCCCCCGCCTTTGCCATGGCGTGTGGATTGGAAGAAGGTAGACCACTGCCCCTCTTCTCTCTCCTGTTCCAACCTTTCTTCAGTTCTCGTCGATTACAATGGCGTACGGATTGAGAGAGACCGAAACTGCTCCCTTTCTTCCCCTTTATAGCCCGCTCTGTTCGATCCTGTCCTTAGCCATGGCGATCGGATCAAAGATCGGACTAGCACTTCTAGTTAGCGAAGCTATGGTCTATGTTGTGTTCTCAGGACCGTGCGAGTCGACCCGATCGATCGTTAGAAAACCGTCTTTACCGAGGAAGTGATATGGACGTGCCTAGCTAACTTTTCTCTGTTCCCCTGTCGTGTTACCCTCTTCTCGGCTCCTGACGTTACGTGTCATGTGGATCGAGAGGACCTGTAGCCAGTACCCTGTTTCTCTTGTCCCATTCTCTTTTGCTTGCGCCAATTGCCATGGCGTGTAAGCCAAAGTACCTTGGGACTAAGTCACAACTCTTACGTTTTGCGTTGTTGTTCATTCTTGCTTGTTTGTGCTTAGTTATGACTTGTGGGTTAAAAGGCTACAAGGGCCGAACCCTATTGCCCTTGTCTCTTTCTCTCGCTTGCAATCTTTCCGGTTCCTATCAATTTCCATGACGCCCGGATCGGGAGACCGCAAGCCGTGCTGTATGTTTAAGTTGAGCTGGAATCTACGCCATTACTCTTGAAGCCGTATAGGTCGACACGATCGACCCGAGAAGTACTGGCTAATTCGAGGTTACGACTCGAGCTTATGCTTAGCAAGCAACCACTCCTGTTCTTTCGAGCCCGAGGATCGGACACCCTCTGTGAGGGCTAAGTCTTTTTGGTGTTCCTTTGTTGTTAGCCACTCTTTCTGTGTCTTGCTGCCTTTTGGGAGTTGTTGGTTCTTGGTTTAGGGTTTGATTGCTCTTTTGTCTTGTCGCTCTGTCGAGGTAGTTGCATCGAGGATAACATCGACCGAACCAGAATTCGATGGAGGAAGAGGACATGGAGGACAACAGGATGTAAGCGACTATGGATCAGCAATGAACAGGTGCCACGTCCCACCCAACCTCGTAGAATCCTATTAGACATGTAAATATATAGATGCTAGTGCTTTACTTTTGCAAATGAACTATGATAGGTTGCATGGTAGAATTGCTTGGAAAGCCATTACCTTGTCGCAACCTTACCCCTACACACCCGCTGTTAGGATAGACGCTCACATTTCTTGCTCGCTACTACTTCTACTTTGCATTATATCTGTCATGTGATGCTGAGTGGAGGATTGTTTGTGAGTGGCTAGGCACTGTGTGCCGCTATAATGATAACAACTTGGGGAGATCTTGGCGTGTGTCTTGGGTGTGTGGTGAGGGTTGAGTCAACTGGGCAGGATCCCACGACTAGTCTATGGATGAGTCTTGCTAGGGGGTGTGACCTAGGCATCCCCTGTGTGAGGTACCTGTAGTGGGTACATGTGAGATGAGTAGATCCCGGGGAGGAGTGTCTTCGTGGGACGAATCCCCGGGATGGAGGTGCTATTATGGCATAGGGTGTTGGTTATCCCCTTTGAGAAGATATCCTGTCTGGTCCCCCTAAGGACTAGTATGCCGAGAGAACTGGCTCATAGGACCCTTCGTGCACACCACTCGTTCCTGAATGGGTGGGAAACGGCATGCCGTCTAGCTAGGGCGATGCCACTACTATTAGGTTGGAAGCGGATAGTGTTGGGAGGTACGGGCTGGTGGCCCACACCCTCCTAAGACAGCGTGGTATCCTTGGTGGCCCGGTATTACGTCTCACAGTCTCAGCGTGCCAGTGGAATCCGGAGTGCCCTAGGGCTGAGTGGTAGGGTGGCATTGTACCGGTTATAGGCAAGCCCGGCATCAGCCTAAGCGATGTACATCGTCAATGATGGCGATCTTGTGGTTCTAGGTGTACACGCTCTGTAGAGTTGATCGATCTATACGTATAGCTGTGTCCACTGTTACAGATATTCCTTTGTTCTATGCTTCCCTTGATTAGTGAGAGGTGTTTCCCTTCTCTCCCCCTGGTTTGGTTTGGATCCGGCTGTTAGCCGCTGAGGCCAGGACGAGAGGGAGTTGTCCTTGTCGCCTAGAGAGCATGGTGGTGACATGTGAGTGTGGTGTGACTGTGTTGGATATGGGATGGGATGGATGGATGGATGGAAATGGGTTAAAACTTGAGAAACAATTATAAAAATATTGATGAACTTGCATATGAAAACTACAGCCAAATAGTAGGCCTTTCCCTTGCCTTTGCATACCACTTACCACAAAGCAAATGCAAAGCATAGGGTGGGAGCCAGTGGCCAGTACAAATCGTACTGATAATTATTTAGCAGGTTTGGAAGCCATCTACGACTACCACAATGGTGATTAGAAGGATTAGGTGGTCTTGTCCTACGCGCAAGGTTGCCTATGAAGGAGGAGTCTTCACCCGCTGATGCGCTACGTCTACTCTGATGATTGCCGTGAAGGAGGAGCCTTCACCCGATGAGGTGCTACGTCTACTCTGATGCTACTCTATGTGCGTTTCCGCTAGTATGGCGTTGTACTATAGTGTGTATCTCAGTGATGTAATACCTTGTAAACCTATAATTCGTGATGTATGACTATGATATCAACTGAATAATGATAATGTGATAGCTTGAACTTCCCGTGACTATCACATTATGATGTAATATGTGGATTTCCCTTCGAGGAAATCGTGGATCGTATCAAGGGGTGACCTCCGTGCTTAGCACTAGCAGTGTCCAGTTCCAATCCATGCCCTTCCTAGCCAGTTTATTCATCTAGCAGGTTGTGTGTACGCTGTCATCAGTGTTATTTTTTCTCAGTTTTCTTCTCCTGTTGTATCGATTTTCCTACTGAACTCGAGCGTATATCGATTTTTTTCCCAGGAACTCTTTTTCTTTGCTTTGGTGCATTCATGGTACATGTTGTGTACTTGAGCAGATTCAGACTTGCAGAGTAGTCTGTTTGTTTTTTCTACTATACTTTCTATTCGCCGATTCTGTGGATATATTCCCAAAAGGCTAAAGTCCGTTGAAATTAGTCTACACTGTGTTTCTTGATCATCAAGGTTGTTTTCATCTTTGTTGATTGTGTTGTGTGGCTTCCTCTTTGTCCTCCTTGAATCGATCTGTCGAGCTGCAGAGGAATTTCTGTC